TCCCAGCTGGTGCCCATCCAAGCTGACATAGAGGGCCTGGATCAGCCTGCAGTGCGGCCTGGTGTTCTTGCGAGCGCTGCCGTCGAAGTGCCAGGAATCCGTCCACCACGACTCGGGCAGCTCCACGAAGGTCGGCACCCGGCTCACCGAGTCGATGAGCGCCTGCAGGTAGGCCGACTCCGCATCGCGCAGCTTGCTGTCGAAGCCCTTCAGGACCCCAGCTGCTATCGCCGCTCGAGCTGCTGGTAAGGACGCGGGCGCGTTGGCCACCTCCTCGAAGAGGTCGGAAGCCGACGTCCCTGTCTTGGTCCGTACGTTGGGCCCCTGGCAGACCGCGCGGGCCTTCCACTGCTGGTGCTCCTTGCTGAGCTCTTCGCCCTTGATCTCCAGGATGGTGAAGACTCTGCCAAACATGGCCTCAGCCAACTTCGGGTCGCGGAGGAGGTCCATCAAGGAGTGCACATCGTTCTCATTACACACTCCTTTGTCTTGCATGCTGGACCTCTCCTTGGCGATGGCTGCGCGGGTTTCATCGCAGTCGGCCTCGGCGCTTTTGGGTTGCACGACTCGCGTGACCATGGCGCACCAGAATGGCCTCGAGGGCGGGGCCGATGCGTCGTGGCCGCGGTGGTCGGCGCCAGAAACATCGGGGGCGCAGCCCTTCGAAAAGCTCCTGGACCTCGGCGCTGGTGCGGCTGGTCGACTCACCTCGCCTCTGGCAAGCCAGACAGTCTGCGCGAACATGTCGGTGTAGATGGCGGACTCCTTGGCAAACCTACCCCTGCACCACACGAACTCATTCTGGTCTTCGTGCGGGTCGGACGTGAACGCGTTGAACGCCGTGCGGACGTGCGCGTCGGTGGAGTAGATGCACCACTTCTTTCGAGTCCACACCGTCCTGCCGTTGATGACGTGGCTGAGGCCAACGGCCGAGGTGGCAACGGCAGTGAAGTCACCGCCTTCATCAGCGCCATGGCACAGCGCCTGGACTGCAGGATGCGCCCACAGGTCAGAGGTGGTCGGCCATTCCCAGACGAAGTGCTGGCCCATGTTGCGGACGTATCTGAATAAGGCCACGCCGTGCGGGATCAGCTTTTCGGTAAGCACGGGGTCGCCTGTCTTGATGCCCTTCGACTCCTTCACGTACCGCCATGGGCAGCCAGCCGTGCACGGGGTAACACTCCATACGACAGTCGGCATCCTGTGCTTGGACGCTAGTCTGGCCAAATGCTTCAAGTGCTTGAGGACGGTAGTGTCCGTGAAGTCGAGGTCGCTGGTCACTCGAATCGCGAGGGTGCGCTTCGGGGCGTTCTCCGAGAGCCTGGAGTTCCCCGCGCAGCACAGCTCGATGAACAACCCGTCGAAGTCGCCGCTCGAGATTGCTGAAAAGGCGCGCTGGCACAGCTCATCCTTGGACTTCGGAGCGAGTGCCCTGTCAGACTCGTTTGCGCCAGCAGGCGCCGCAGATCCCAGGAGAGGGTGGGCAGCCTCGACGGAACGGCGAGCAGGCATTGATGGCCTGACGCTAGGGGCACCGACGTAGTCGGACTCGAGGGCGCCACCGACGAAGCCAGTGCAGCTGCAGAGCACGCGAGGCGCAGGACCTGCGGGCTTGGCCTTCTTGGACTTGTGCTCAGCCCAAGCCTTCCGCCTGGCTTCCTGGGCCGCGAAACCAACGGGGTCGTCGAACCTCCAAGCGTTCCTGGCCGCTAGCCGGTTGGCCGCTTTCATACGAGACCTATGTTGCTTCACATCAGCAATTTGGCCCCTGCTGACTTTTTCCAAAATAATATATTGGGATGAAACGCTGCCGCTGGATATATCGAGCACAGTTGATCACGACACAAACGCTCCTGCGATCCCCGCCAAAATGGCAAGAAATGGTAAGCTCAGATCCGCATGGCTACATTGCAACCGAACCGCTTGACCACCATCTCGACCGAACTGGTGGAATTCGACCACGCGTCCGACAAAATACGTTCGACGAGGGATGCGCTGCACAATGCCCCGGCCACGGGCAGCGCTACGAGGGAAAGCGGGCCCTTCGATGTGTCACTTTCAGCGCCCGTGAAAGTGACACCTCCCAGGGCCCACTTAAAGAGCATCAGAAAGGCTCCAAGAAGGCCCCGAGAAGGCCCCAGGGCGGCACCAAGAGGGCTCCCATAGGGACCCAAGAGAGGCCCCAAGAAGGGCCCGAGAGGGCCCTCCGCGGTGTCACTTTCAACGCCAGTGAAAATGACACCTCCCAGGGCCCACTTAGGGCCTCAGAAAAGCTCTAAGAAGGCCCCGAAAGGGCCATAGAGAGCCGCCCTGGGTTCAACTCCGCGTGGCGGAGTTGGAAGCGATAACTTCAATACCCTACTGGAGGCCTCTTAGGGGCCCTAAGACGGCACTGAAGAACCCCATCGGGGCTTTTTCAAAGGCAGAGGAGGGCGCAAAAAGGGGCCTCAGTGAGCCCCTGGTCTAACTCCACCTGGCGGAATTGGAAGCGATATCGCCCGGCGCCTTCATGGAGCCGCTCGGAGCTTCCAAGACGGCTCCAGAAGGCCCCAGGAGGGCCCCAAGAGGATCGAACGACGATTCCTGGAAGTGCACCAGTGAGACCCTTGTTGACCTCCGCCTGGCGGAGTTGGAAGCGACAATTTCCAGTGCCCTCTGGGGGCCTCTGGGGGGCCCCTCAGAAAGCTTTGGGGAGCACAGTGAAGGCCTTCGCAGTGCCGCGTGAGAGCCGTGCCAGGGCCGCATGTGTGCGCGGATGGGGGCGACGAGTGCTGACGCTGACGAATATGAGAATGATGAGGGCGATCAAGGCTGGCCCGAAACAAATCCTGGCGCCATTGCAGGCCGCCGATTATCGGCCACGCCGCCAGGACGACGCCAAGCAACAAAACGACACCAACCAACAAACCGACACCAACCAACAAACCAACAAATCGACACCGGCCAACAAAAGGACACCAAGCAACAAAACGACACCAAGCAACAAAACGACACCAACCAACAAAACGACACCAACCAACAAAACGGCACGAATCAACAAAACGGCACTGACCAACCAAACGACAAATCACTTCACGACACCAATGAACAACGCGAAATCCACCGACCGCCAACCAAGCATAAAATCAACCGACACAACGAAACCAACCCATAGAGCCAGACCAACCACTGGATTCGTGAGTCGGGGTAGTCATGGAAGTGAGCCGCTGCAGCCCGCGGAAGCCATTAACAGTGACCAGAGCACCGCAATGCAGCAACGTCCCCGGGCGGCGGCGGGAGTCTTGGATCTCCCGTGGGACTGGAGCGTAGCGAGTTCGTCCTGGGTCCGGTTTAGTGAAGTGAAGAATTTCGGCGTGCTTGCATGGCAAAAACCTTCACTTCACTAATCTGGGGCCCCTGGGGCCCCAGGGCGTTTCAGGTCCCCTCGCTGTCTGGGTAGTCCAGGGGGCGCAGTGGCGGCTTGCCAGAGGCCCTGTTCCCTAGCCTCACTTGCTTTCACCCGTGGTGCTCGACGGCCGTCTCGGAGCTGTCTTGTGGCGGTCTGGGGCAATCCCGAAGCCTCTTGGAGCCATCCCAAGGCCCCAAGGCGCCACCAATGGGGGCCCCAAGAGAGCTCCCAGAGGGCCCCGAAAGGCCTACAACAGATTGCACGTTCGCGCGAATTCTTTGTACCACTTTGGGGGGTCCCTCTTGGGGCCCTCGGGGAACGTTCTTGGGGCCCTCCGAGGGCCCACTGGGGCCCCGGGAAGGCCCCAAGAACGCTCCCAGAGGGCCCCAAGAATGCTCCAAGAGGGCCCCAAGAGGACCCCCACAAGTGACAAAAACTATTTGCATGAGGGTGCAACTTGCTCGGCGCCTCTTGGGGCGCTCTTGGAGCCGTGTTGGGCGCCACTCGTGGGCGACATGGGCTGGGCGACGGCATGTGAACCCTGTCGCTTGGGCCATCGGGGGTGCTACCCAATGGCGCCACGAAGCTTGTGAGCGTATGACGGAATGGGCTGGGCGGCGGCCCGTGGGCCCTGCCTGTGGGGCCGTCGGTGTAGCTCCCCGTGGGGCCACGAAGCGTGTGAAACGTATGCCGAAATATGCTGGGCGGCGGCCTGGGAAACGTGCCGCTGGGACCTTTTTCTGGTGGAGCTGCCTATAGGGGCACGAAATGTTTGAGGGTGTCATCAATGTGGCCTGGGCGACGGCATGTGGACCTTGCCGCCGGGACCTCCGATGAGCTCCTCATGGGGGCACGAAGCGTCTGAGGGGCGTGCCGACATGGGCTGGGCGGCGCACTAAAGACCCTGCCGATGGGGCCTTCGGTGGAGCACCTCACAAGGCCACGAGACTTGCGGGGGATGTGGCGAAGCAGAGACGCGGGGGAACAAGGGGGGTGTTTTGAGGATGTTGATGAGGATGGTGGTGGTATTGATGATGGAGACGGCGAGAATGCTGATGATGCTGATGATGATGGTGATGGCGACGATGACGATGGACGATGATGACGGAGACACGCGGAGAGCAGGGGCAGATACGCGAAGAGGGAGGACGAGGGAGGGGGCCGGAAGGGATGACGCGGGGCGGTGTCTCTTCAAAACGAAGAACCAACACTGCAATATGGTAGGAAATGTCTGGGCGACCCCCCCCACGTGGCGCGGTCAATGTCCGCGACAGCATCGCTGGCACTACGAACGAAATGGTCGAACTCTTCCTGCGACGTTACCCGCGGGGTGGATCAGCCGGGGATGGGGGTCGAAACCGCCCCAGCGCAAAGCAAATGCACAATCCTGAGAAACCCCAGCCCACATCAACCGATCCGCAACAAGCACGCAAGCCTTTGACGACCCCAACGCACGTGACATCGCATAACGCGACGCGCCATCGAAAACGTTCGACGCGCGGCCTCGGAATGACATCGGGCTTCATGGAACGTCGAATGGAAAACATGAAAAACCGCCCTGTGGGCTCCGAGACCCAATATTACTGATGTGAAGGATTTCGGCTCGTCGATTTCAGGGAGATCCATACTTCGGGCTCGAAAGTCGGCGGGCGAAAAGACCATGGCGGCGCCCACGCAGATCTGCGAATGACGCCGTCCGCTCCGAAGTCGTCTCGCCTCCAGCCAGTCGGAAGAGCGCGGCCCGGTCAGGAATCGCATCGGTGTCTATGGCGTCGACGGGCGCCGACTGAGCAAGCCCAGCAAAATCTGCATTCACGGCCGCAGGCGGAGGCGCCAGAGATCCGAGGAAGTTGCCCCCCTCCGCGTCGATTTCCTCCTGGTCCTTGGGGCCGAAAGTAGTCCTGCCGGTCCATGGGGCAGGGAGTGGGCGATGAGGGCCTGGATCTCGAAGCCAATCGTCTTCCATGAGGTCACACTGGCCGTTGTGGTAATCCACCTTAGTCATCCGCCATCCCCCGAGCTGGTCTGCATCGGGAGGGCCATCGACGTCGATCGGGGTGAACATGGCAACGCGGGGGGCCACGTGGATCCGGTGCCACAAGTCATCCTCGCGTTCCCAGTAGTCCCCCTTGGTGTCGTTGGCTGGAGTCGGCGGGGCAGCGCCACCCTTCAACTCGACCAGGCACTTGGAGCCAGGCCGAAAAACATAGCAGAGCTTCACGGGAACCCAGGCGTGCCGACTCAAGCGGCTCACGACGAGCTCCTGCGGGTCCACGCCCACAAGAGGCGAGGCTGCAACCAGCGCGCGGATTGCGTCAGCACGAAAACCATAAGCATAAAGGCAAGGGGCGTCGAGAATCTGGTTGTTCCACTGCAGGGTCGCCTTGGCGCTGAGCAGAGAGTTCATGGAAGGCAGCGGCCGGCGTCCGCTTCCACGAGGCCGCGGAGCAGAGGCCTCGGCTGAGGGCTCAACGGCGAGCTCCGGCACCGGCGAAACCGACACGGTTGGGGAGTCTGGGTCCAGGGCCATCATGATGTCCATCACGCGCTTCTTCCGCGAATAGCGCAGGGCATTCTCGGACAAGTCGCCATCGAAAGTGAGGTCGTGCCGCTCGGCGTCGTCCTCGCAAGCATCCTCCGTGGCGATGAGCCCGCCAGGGGCTCCGACGTCGTCGGAGGCTATCGGCGTCGGGAGGTTGAGATCCTCGAAGGCGCCGTGGGCCATCAAGCGCTGCTTGAGCGGGAACGCGGGCTGGTCGGGGAAGACCACGTCGGTCACCGTGCGCACGCTGACGCGCGATGCGCGGCCGTCGTCCATGATCGCTGCCAGAGGGACCACGAGGTAAGATTTTGCCCACGTCTCGCCAGGGCCAGCGGTGACGCCTACGCAGACGGCGGGGACAAGCCTGCTCTTCCACTTGGTCGAGCCCAGGTGCTTCAGCTCCACCCTGGTGGCCTTGGAGCCGGCTGGCGGGCGGTAGGTCACCAGGCCGCCGAAGGGGGACGCTGTGCAAGGTGCTCGTTCCCCGAACCTGCGGTGCCAGGGCGTGCGGCCGCCCTTCCCGACGTGCGTGGCGTTGTGAGCTATGGCCCAGGCGCGAATCGCGAGCGGCCACCAGTTCTCGGAGAAGCCGGACTGGTGGAGCAGCGCGCGCGTACCCTCGACGCTGAGGCGGTTCATGCGTTCCGCCTTGCCGTTGGCCTGCGGTCGGTACGGCGTCGACCGATAGTGCGCCAAACTGCGTTGCTCGCGAATCTGCCTGGCGGCAGCGCGAAACTCAGGAGCGCGATCGCCCCACCAGCGCGTGATCCTCTCGGGCGTGTTGTCGAAGCGCCTGACGCTGTCTAACGCCGCGCTGGCGTCGCGGCGGGCCGTCGGGTAGCTGGAGAAGAAGCCCGTGCCCTCATCGGTGATGTTGAGCGCGTAGGGCGCAGCCTTGCGAGCGTCGCTGCCGTGCTCCATCTCGATGTGGTCCATGTGCACGAGGGCGCCAAAGTTCCACTGCTCCTCGGGCGTCGCGTGCAACACGATGGCCGACGCTGGTCTCCTCCCACTGCGACTCTTCGCAGTCTTGCCGAAAGCGCACCCGGGGCATGCGCCCGGAGGACAACGCGGAAGGTGAGCCGCAAGGTGCGCCCGAGACAGCGGGTCATTGTGGAAGGTGGCGTCCATGGCGTCGCCAGGCAGGCACTTGCCACACTTGAGAGGGATCTCGTCGGGGTCGACGTGCTGGTCGTGAGCTGTCAGACCACCCTCCAAGTCGCGAGTGAAGGCGCGGGTATCGTCGCCAAGTCCGACGCTCTCGAACTCGGGCGCGTGCTCCACGATGGACGGGTCGCCGGCGATGCAGAAGTCGTCGTCCAGACCTGCGGCCTGGGGGGCCGCCGCTACCACCTCGGGGACCGCCACCTCGGGATCTTGATCATCCTCCTCGGGAGCCCGGTCAGCATCAGATGCTCGAGGTGGGCTCTGATCCGAAGACCCTGCAGCTGGCATGCAGGCAACTTGGCGTCGCTCTCCTTCGGGGCGTGCGAACCCTGGACGGACCATGGGCACGCAGTGGTCAACCCTCGCGTCGAGGGGAGCCCCATCAGGAGCGAGCCACACAGATTTGTCCTCGAAGGGGTTCCAGGTGAAGGTGTACCCGTACTCGGCACAGCGCCTACCGATGGACAGCGCGTTGATGGTGCCCGGCAGGACGACTGCCTCAGTGTCCTCGCCGAGCCGCTCCAAGCCGATCACCGCGGTGGTGTCGGGCGCGATGGTCCCGTTCGCGGTGGCGAGTGGGTTGAGGTCGGACCTCCGGCGCACGTCGCCGCACTGCATCGCGGTCTGGGCGTCGAGTAAGTCGTCACCCACGCCGGCGTCGGCCACGGCCCACTCGGCGTCGTTGTCGGTGGCACTCGGCATGGCGACTCTGGTAGCGCCAGCGGCCTCATCGGCATGGCGAGCCAGTCTGGCTGGTGCTGCCTTGGCGGTGGCCTTGGGCGCGTGCCGGAATTCGCACTTGTCGCCCTTGTCGCACTTGCCGGACTTCTGGAAGGCGGCGCAGATGGGCTTGTCCTGGGCCACGTCGGGCCTGCCTGCTGCTGCAGAGGCCTTCTTCTTCTCCGCAGCCTTCTTCTTCTCGGCAGCCTTGGCCTTAGCCTTGGCCTTGGGTTCTGCGGCAGCCTTCGACGTGACCGCTGCAGCCTCGGTCCTGGCCTTCTCGCCAATGCCGGCTGGTGGCATCGGCGCGCTGGAGTCGTGCGACTATCTGCACCTGTCTCCGAACGGGCAAGAGCCGCTGGTGCGGAAGAGGATGCAAGCCCACGTCTGCTTGCCCTTATCCTTGCCCTTGCCAGCGTCGCCCTTGCCACCTTTGCTAGCTCCTGGGGCAGCGATCTTCTTCGGCACCGCGCCCTGGAGCTGCTTAGAGGCCGCCGCTCGTTTCTTCCTGGCCACCTCGCGCCGGGCGCGGTTGTGCAACCAAGAGGCGGCGCGCTCCTCGGAGCCCTCCTCGGCGCCGTCGAAGGTGACGAAGGTCGGCGCGAGGTCGCGGCATAGTCTGAGCTGCGGCCCGACGATTCCCATGATGCGCTCCTCGTCTGGCTGCCGCGTCAAGCCCATCAGAGTGGAGTCCAGCAGGTCCAGGTATGCCTCCAAGTCGCCGTGGAACTTCAAGTTCACGAACGCGTTGACGTCGATGATCGATGTCTGGCTGGACTCGATGCGAAACTGCTCGAAGAACATCTTGAGTGCACATCGCCCAGAAGGGGCTGTCCCCTCGCCGTCAGCTGCTCCTGGTCGGTCAAGAGCTGGCGCTCGAGGGAAACGGTGGCGATCTGCACGATGGAGTCGGCCAAGACTGTGTCCAGGTCGCCCCACTTGCGCTGGGCGGACGAGAGGTGCTCGAGCCGCTCCTGGGTGACCGCCGGGTCCTCAGCCAGCTGCAGCCAGCGGAGGGTACTGCGCTTAGAGCGCTTGGAGGCCGCGCCGACCTTCGAGTACAGACTCTGGATCCACTGCCGGAGCCCAGATGCCTGCGGGCTCGGGTCGAGCTTCAGCTCCTTCACCGCGCCCTTCCTCCGCCGAATGTCATCCTCTTCGCTGGGCGAAGAAAGCGACTCAGAACGCTTGCGCGCCTGCTGCGCCCGAGCGGCGGCTGCAGCTCCACGTGGGGGAGCGTTGAGGTCATAGCCATCGAGGCTCCACTCGCCCCCAGGACCGCCATCATCAGGAGGTCCGCCGCCTGGAGGTCCACCAGGTGGTCCTCCGCCCATGCGTCCTTGCTGCGGCGGCGGCGGCGGCCCAGGCGGGCGGCGCGGCGGGAGGAGCGAGCGAATGCTCCCCGCAGCGCCGGGGTCAGATGGAGGACGACTGCTGCCTGGGGCTGGCGACGCGGCGGTCTGCGCGAACATCTGGCCCATGCTCATGCCGTAGCCCCGACCAGGCAATGCGCCAGCAGCCGAAGCCGGCGGGCGCGGCGGCGGCGCGATAGCGGCCGACCCCAGTGCACCCAGGGCAGAGGCGTCATGAGCCCGCCCTGTCAGCATGAAGTTGCACGCGTGCTGCTCGCCGAACTGCCCCTCGATGGACTCGCGCCGTGCACTTGCGCTGGCAGCCCGGGCTTGGTCTCCCGGAAGACGTTCGGGATGAGCAGCAGGCCAAGCACCCGCGTCAGCTTGCAGCTCACGGGGAGGAGTACCACCTTCACCAACTGCAGGAACTTGGCGATGCGCTTCAAGTCCAGGTGGTGGGCTATATCGATGCTCAGAGGCCTCAGCCATCGCGCGCCAGTTGGCAGCGCACTGGAATTCTGCACGAGCCACCTGCCCCTCGGCTCCGGCAGCTCGCGTCTCGGTCATCAGCCTGTCGCGGAGCACGTGCTCGACGGCCTCGTGGTCCTCGCCCAGCCTCCTGAGCTTGCGCCCGGAGTCGTCAATGACGTTTTGGGCACCAGCTCGAAGAGCAGCGAAATCCCGCTCGTGGTCCGCCAGCTTGGATGCCTGGACCACGACCTGGGCACGGAGCCCGGCTGCCTCAGTGCACTGCGCGCGGGGCTCAGAGACCGCGGAGGCCTCCAAATGCAGTCGAGACTCGGCTTGGCGGAGGCGGAGCGCCTGCCGGGACTCCGCGCGATGGGCAGCTTGCTCGGCGTCCCGAGCTGCCGCCGCCGCGCCCTGGGCATCGGTGATGGCCTGGAGCGCCTCCGCCTTGAGCGAATTGATGGCGGACTCGGCGTTGGCGTTCACCTCGGCTTCGGCCCGCCTCGCAGCCCGAATAGAAGACTCAGCCTGCTCACTGACCTCCCGGAGCTGTCCAAGATGGGCCAGGTTGGCCACATTCAACGGGGCAGTGCGGGCGGCCAGCTCGTCATGCATGCGGCGGCGGGCAGCGATGAGCTCCTCGGCCTCCGTCTCCACGACTTCGTTGATCCTCTGCCTTGCCGCGGCGTCGAGGTGCTGCACCGCATCCGAGAAGCGCGCCGCGTACTCGGAGCGGATGGAGTCCTGCCGGGCCTCGGCGTGCATGAGCGCGCCGATGAGCTCGTGCCTCATCTCAGCCTGCTCTGACCGAGCAATGTCGGCCGCGCGGGCGGTCATCGCCTCGGTGCGGGCCGACAATGTCAGCATCATCTGCGCCACCAGGACCTCCTCGTGCGCCATGGCTCGCCTCTCCATCTCGCACTCGTCCATGACGAACCCGAGGGCCGTCGCGAGACCGTCGTCCTCCATGATGCTGGATTCGCCGGCAGGGGCAGGGACCTCAAGGGCGCGCTCGGCTACCGCAGCATCACGGTGTGCACCCTGCTCGCGATCACCATGAAGATGTCCAACGGAGTCGTGGGCCCGCACGGCGCGGCCGCGGTCGCGGCTCCTGTCGAGGTGAGCGGGTTCAACTCGTGGGGGCACTCGTGAACGTAGACGTTGGAGTCCGACAGGCGCGCGCTGGAGGTGCGGGCGCAAGCGCCTGTTCGAGGTCAGCGGGCATTCGGAGCCCAAGCCGACGAAGATCGGCCAGTGCCTGTGCAGGTACATCTGGATGATGCTCGGGGGCGCCTGGGTCAGAGTACTGGCGAGACGCATTCATGTTCTCATTGTAGTCATGGGTAGCGTCGAACTCAGACTCTCCACCAGACGTGTCCCCCGTTTCGTCCATCTCCCCAGCTCCAGCCGCATCAGCATTTCGGCTGATAACCTCAGCAGCCTGACTGGGTCTACCGGGTATCACCTGTGGGGTCATAGGCTGGGTCTCGCTCGTAATCAGCGGCTGGGCTGGGGGAGTCAGCGGCACAGGCTGCGCCGTGGGATTGGGACTCGTCGCCATACCGTCTACTCGTCGTCATAGGCCTCGAACAGATGAAACAACTCAAATTCCTCGACGCCCTCCGAGAGACGTTCAAGTAAATATCGCACTACCGTCGGGCGGATCGGGATGGCGTGTCGCAGTCCCGGGATCGGTGGGAGGTCAAAGGAGATCCTCAACAACGATTCAATGGAAACGGACAGACGTGTGATGAGCCGGCGTTGCCGCTGAGGCTCACCACGCGCCCTGTCCGGGACCATTTTGTTTTCTAGCGCGATGCCAGAAATTGTCTTGAGCCAGAGTGCAGCGTCACGGCGAATGTTGCCCTGAAGCTGCTGACCTGGAGTGCAAAATACATTGCAACCCATCCCTGGAGGCGGCGTTGCCGCTGAGCCTCCAGAGATCTTGAGACACATGGCGGTGCAAGCTATCGTGTCGACCAACGCCAAAGTCGGCCCACGGTCAACATGCGTTATCCCACTTTGTGGGATAAAGGTCTTCCAACAATCTACCTTCGCTCTGAGGGAAGGCCCGACAAAGATAAAATTATCACCCCCGCTCTGAGGGAAGGCCCGACGGAGATAAAATGATCACCCCCGCTCTGAGGGAAGACCCGACGGAGACAAAATCATCACCCTGTCTCGCGTGTCTTGGATGCCGGTAAAAGAGCTTCTGCTCTCTTTATAAGCCGCCCCGACTGCTCAGACGCCCCGCGCGCCCCACCATTCGAGTGCTTGGTGCGCAAGCGTCATATAGAGGTATGCCGGCGGCGGAATATGGGGCAACCACCATCTATTTTGCACACCTCCCCCTTCGAAGACGAGTAACCATATAGTACCCTTAGGTCGGGCGTGTCCCCCTACAGGCGGATTTTGGACGAAATATAAAAAATCAGCCGACCCTGTCAGCGTGTGGACGAGGCTTCTCCGTCTGCCTCCTCTTCGTCGTCGTCCTCGTCCTTTCCCTTTTCCCACAACGTCTTCTCCTTTTCCGGAGCCTCCTCCTCAAACGTTTCGGTCCAAACCGACATTGAGCAACGTCGTCATTGAGTCGAAGGGAAGCCCCTTCCCTTTGATCCCTACCCCGGCGCGGGGGGGGGGGGGAGTCCCGGGGGAGGACCCGGGGGAGCACCCAGGGGAGGTCCCGGGTCAGATACGCAGCCCCCGCCCCCCCTGAAGATGACCTCCAAGATCGCTCATGTAGCCCTCGATGGCTCCAGATCGCTTGACGCCGTCTTGGAACCCTCTCGGGCCACTTGAGGGCGCTCTTTGTCTACCTTGGGACTCTCTGGAGCCGTTCCCGAACCCTGGAGGAGGCCTCTTGAGCTGTCTTCGGACGACCTTGCAGGCATCTGGCGCCGTTGTCGAGCCATCGGAGGGCATCTTGGACTCCTCTACCTCTATTGTCTTCGTCGTCGCTGCCTGCAGGGTCGGCGGCATCGGCCGTAAGGCCATCGCAATAGTCAAAAACATATTTCAAACATGATCACAAGATACGAAACAAATCGTCCCCTGACTTTTAAATTATTTCTCAACATTCCTCCTGTAGGATGACAGGCCCGACTTAATGGTACCGGGCTCCATGTGCTGGCAGGGCTTCCTGCCTTTCCCCCCTTGCCCTTGAATTAGGTCGCACCTCTCGCTGATCGCTGCGTTCCTCCTCCCTCCTACCCTATTGGGGGACCATCTGCAAGGGGCCTCAGGACACACAAATACATACACACAAACCTCAGGATTTCCGATACTTTTCAATATTTTCTGAACTCTCGTCTTCCTCTCCACTTCCCATCGTTTCTCGCATTTTCCTGGGAGGCGACGATTCATTGTGTCTGTGTGTGTTTTTCCCCTCCTGACATCTGCAAGGTAAAAAAGCTCCCGCCGGAACGTTGGGGGAGGCCTTTGTACGTCGGGGAACGGCCGCCGAACAAGACGTCGTGCAGGGGGGGGCCAGGGAGGCCGGTGTGCCGTGAGCAGGCCTCCGGGGGAGCTCTGCGACCACCTGCGAGCACTGCCCGTGCGGGTCCCATCGGCGGTGGGGTATCGGAGACCCCCGCCCTGTGGACCCGATCGGGCCCCTGTGGGCCTCTGTGGGGATCAGATGCGGACCGCACCAGACTTCCGAAGGATCTCACACGGTTCCCGCAAGGTGCCGTTGGGGTCCCATGATGGGGCCACTGTAAGGATTCGAACGCATCCTGTTGGCACACGCAGGGGACCAATTCGACATGGGACATTTTTAACAACCCAGAGCCAGCAACAAAATGGATCTTCGGCCCCTCGGGGGGGGCGCGAAGGCCCCCCAATGGCTGTTGCTGGGTTGCCGGGCAAACAACAGCATACATCATCCGAGCAGCGGAATTCACACTTCAGCCATACACCCAGGGAAACTGAATGACCGCTCGGTCCCCCCTCACTCTTACAAAAGAGATGAGCCACCAACAGTCTGCGTGCCTGCCTGACAGGTGCGCTGAAAAACACTCCGTTGCGACACATCACGCCGAAGCGCTCATTCACGAAAGTCTGCATGACTTCTGCCGTCTCTCCATTGGCGTCGCCTTTGTGCAACCCGGATCCAGTCCTGCTACTGCTGGCCATGGAAATGGAGAGGTAGGAGGGAATGGAAGAGATGGAGGAAGGGGACAGAATCCGCCGTCAGGCTGCGCGGATGAGGGTTCCTGCGCTCTGCTCCAATTCCAATGTTACAATTTCACTCTCTGCTTCCTCTTGTAAATTGTTTCTCGCCGCGCGACGGGGGGAAGCCGAACACGAACACCACCCGGTTACCTCACCCGAGTCGCGAACTCTATTTTTTCGGTGGGTGTGAGACATGATGTAAAAATACGTGAGTTTCACGCCCCCAGGGCCATTCCCCCTTATCACATAAAACCAGGTTCGCGCCCCCGAGGCCAGAATCCTTTAGCTATACATTGCGCCAGGATCGCGCTCCAGAGGCATGGATCCCCCGTACATTCATCACCACCGCGCTGCCAAGGCCAGAATCCTTTATGAATTACACTGGGCTCGCGCTCCCGAAGACCAAATCCATTGTGACATACGCTGAATGCGTTACATGATTTGCACTAAATTCGCGCCCCCGCAACCAGAACCCATGGTAAATTACTGTACGCCGAATTCGGGTTCCCGAATACAGAACCCGTTGTAAATTATGCAAAATGAATGCTCTCAAATGCAGAATTCGCTCCCGAGGCCAAATTCTCTCGCAAATTACGCCAGGTTCGAGCTCAGAAAGGGACACGAATCGTTCAACAACAACTCCAACATCTCAAAATGCCTGCTGAATGCCGATCGTTCTCGCATGATGTTCCTGGAAGTTTTCGAAACAGCGCTGGCACGCCCCAGCATAGATCTGGCATGGCTCATTATGGAAGGGAGAGGACCGGCGGCAGAGGGCGAAGCCCTTAAAAATTGGAAGAGGAGCGGATGATACTGAAAGGGGCATCTTAGAATGTGGGAGAGTACGCGAAAAGAAAGAGACGCCCCTCAGGGCTACGAGCTACCAACCCCGCATCGGTAGCGCATCGCATGGCGCAATCCAATATCAAATGGCGCATTGGATACAGTGTCGCATCTTTGGCTGGTCGAACCAGTGCCATATCGCACATGGCCCATGGATGTCACGAGATCTTGCGGCGTCGTGCGAGCATGCATTCGCAGCGCGAGCAGACGCAACAGGCTGATGAGGAGGAAAGATGTGAATAAGAATTAGGACGAGGAGCAGGCTGTCTCTACGCAACATTCACACAAGGACGATGGCGACAAAGGCGACGAGCCATCAAACGAAACCATCTGCCACACTGGCATTGCTCTGAACAGGGTGCGCGGAATCTCGAGTGCACGAACAGTCTCAGACAGTCGCGTCAACATCGCTTGGCACGACTTCAGGATGGGGACTCCATTGCATGGATCACGCCGCGAGCATCCAACGAGGCTCACGAATGCGATCAGAAAGACACCCACCACGAAATGGAATGGACAGAACTTCATTGCTGCGAAATGGCAAATCACGCAGAATTCACTCAAACGCAAGGGAGGGTGCCTTGCCTCTTTGGCTGGACCGTACTCGCCGTTATGCTGGTGAATTGCCTCCCGCACCCATCTGTGAAACGCTGGAACTGCCGACCCCGATGAAACCGCCTCTCGTGCTCTTGCCCTCTGTCAAGTTGTTCTGCACCTCGCATGCGGCCCCAAATGCATCCCTGCTCTCACTACTTTTCCACCGTTTCTTCCTTCGGCAATTTCTCCTTGGTCGGATTTGTTCAAGAACATGTGGGTGAACATTGCTCGGACCCATACGCGTCTAAGCCTGGTTATCCGAGCTACCTAGAAGACCGAGCAGCATCCGTGCGGTCAGCGTGACTCAGCCATTTCAAGGCCCCCTAGATTGAGGATGACCAGCGAAGAGTGCAAATTGTGAGCCCTGGCTGGACCAGGAGGAACACGAACAGCAGGAAGAGGATGATGCGGATCACGAGGCGATTGAATTCGGAGAAATTTGGGCGCCTCCGGCGCCGGGGGCGGCGCTGGAGGCGCCGCCAGGTGGGCCCAACGCCGATCCAAGAAATCCGCGCGGAGCTCGGAAAATGTATGTTTAGAGGTTTGTTTCTTCTTAGAACAATACTACCACGTGATCACATTGCGATCCAGCTGCGGGCGCGACAGGCGGGCCTACAAACTCAGGAATCCTGCACCACCTTCCGTGCCTGCTGCGCTCGGGCCGCCATCCAATCCGGCACTGGCACGTACCGCTAAGCCTTGGGTCGAAACGCGCGGCGCTCCAAATGCCGTAGTGGGCTGCCAACATGGCTCAGTCAGACACGGTCATACAAGTACGGTCGGGGCAGACGAAAAGGGGGCCTAGCCAAGTAGGGGTTAGGGAGTCAACTGCGTGCAACAAGTCTGAGGCGGCCGTGTGGCTGGTTACGAAGCATGATCGACCCACGAATCCGGAATGGAATATAGAAATGTGAGGCATGGCAACGTTTTCAAGACACCTGGCTGGGCGACGAGCAATTGCAATGCTGAGTGTATCGATCTCTTTTTTTCTCTCACAAGAATATCCGAATGTCTCGAGGAGAAAAGGCTTTCAACTGCATGAGTAGCAGCCTCCAGTGATGCCCGCGTGAAACACGGCGCACAGAACGCAATTTGTGACTACTGTATATTCAATGCGCCACATGCTGTGAGCGAAAAGCTCCTGCTGATGCCCACGGGGGCAGCACGCGCTGCCGAACCAGGCGGTCAAGGACGCCGCTGCGTGGTCGAAGGTCAGGCAAGAGGGCGCTCTTGTTTACCACCAAGGGGAAGAGGGCAAGAGGGCAAGAGGGCAAGAGGGCAACAGGGACCGGTGCAAAAATGTGCACCACCATGGCAAACGACTAATTGGCAAGACTCTGGTTGAGAAATCCCTATGCGTAGAAGAGACTTGCAACAGAATGAAGCTCGGCTGCACAAATTTTGGATCTCCTCATTGATACTACCTTTGGAGCAACTCATTCCTCAAACATGGTCGGCATATCATCTTGTTCATGTCTCCGGCCAAAACTGAAGATGCGAGGGCATCTGCCGTTGCGCTGCTCGCACATACCATAATACAAAAACCTTGAGAACGAGCTCTCCGTGTTACCGACAAAGAAATTACAAGCGCTCATGAGGCGGATGGACAACAACCATGACAACATGTCCCCAGAAGTGGCCGCCGAGTATCCAAAGTCGCTGCTTCCAATGGAGTCTTTATCTTTGTAGAAGTCTGACAAGCTGTTGAGCGGTGTGCTCGGGGGCACGGTATGGATGATGGCCCGTCGAGAACCCTTCGCCACCGCGATGATGTCAGCGTCGTCGGTCATCAGAAATATTAGCGGAAGTTTCTTGCTCCGAGAAGCGTCTGTCAGCTGAGGCTTGTCCTCCATCATCTTAAGCGCCACGTCTAAATAGTCTTCGAAGCTCTTATTGAAACCTCCAGCGATGGTATCGTGCTCTCGTATCCAGAACGGTGTGAGCTTGTCCCCGTGACGGACATGGATCGCCGCGCAAGCGGGGCCTGTTCCCGACGCAGGCCACGCTTGGTTCTTGGAGCGCCACTCTGCTTCACGGCGGGCGATCTCGTTTCGTGTCCTCGCGTTCTGACGGAAGAAGAGCATCTGCCACATAACATGAAGGTCGCCGACACCAAGGCCGTCAAATGGCTTGGACAACCGGTGACGGAACGGCACAGCCATATCAACGTTACCATTCACCAAGTTCTTCCCCCAATGTGCAGTGTCCATCGTGCAGCTGGACGTCGGCAAGAAAAAGCATTCCTGCCTCGTCATGGGGGAGACTGTGCTATTTGTCATGGGGGATACGTCCACCTCCCCACAGAACGGACTGAAATACTCCGCGGGATGACTGTCCAGACGTGGATCAGACCACACAGGCAGAAAAGCAGTTCGTTTGTGGGAATCTCGAACCTCGCTGACCCACTGCTCAAAACCGAAATAGAACTCTTCTTGCGTGGCCTGCCCGACCCAGCCGCTGGAAGTCATGACGGTGGCGCGGCACCTGTTAGGATCTTTCGCATCGGCAGGGAACTGCAACGAGTCCAACGTGAGAAAATGGCGGAAGGCCTTGTCCGGCACGCGCAGAAGGACACACTTCGACTTCCGCCAATTCCCACTACAATGGCTGAACCTCCACTCCACGCGCGGGATCAGAAACTCGTCGATCGCTTCGCTTATCTTCTTGAGCGGCCCTGTTACCACCGTGCGCGTCACGTTGCCTGCGGTGGCAGCGCGCAACTGTCCAGCATAGTCGGGCTCGCCGTCGTGGGGCAAGTCTCCCAACCTCAGCGCCGCACAGAAGAGGCGGTGCGTCATCAGAAGCTGCAAGAGCAGAGCACAAGACAAACATGATGCTGGATGTCCGATGGCCGCCATCAGGCGGTGCTCTGCACGGATAAAATATATATGCGGTGTGTGGTGCGATTCGGGGTGCGGACCCAACAACGCCTTGGGCTGGGATGGCTCGAACACAATGGCTACGGAATGCTGAATGTATCGATCTTGATGTACCGTGCCCAAGACTGTGCTGTGCTGCGCCGTGCTGAATTGCGATGTGCAATGCCGCGCTTGTGCTCGATAACGTTGTGGATCGACTCTATGTTTGCATCCGAGTTCTGACCGGACTGATCTGTATCTTAAGCACGAGCTGCCTGACCACATAGCAGCTGCCCCAGAGCTAATTGAAGTGGAAACGTGCGGGACCGTCAATGCACTCGACCCCAAAGTCCGACTCAGCTCCGAAAAGAAACGAGGAGCACAATAGGGGATGCGCCCGGGGGCGTGTCAGGGACGTATCAGGGGACGTGCCCTGGACGTGTCAGGGCCTGCCACGCGACGTGCCAAAGCGAGTGCCATGGGGCGGCCAGAAGACGTCATGCCAAAAAACGTTGCAAGGGGCCCGCCACGTAACGAGCAGGGGAAAAGCTCGGGGACGAGCAAGAAAACGCGAAAGAGGACGAGCCAGGGAACGTGCCACGCCGAGTGCCGTGCTAGGGGGCGTGCCAGGGCACGTCAAGCCACAACGTCGCAAATGACGCGCCAGGGGACGCGCCAGCGCGCCAGAGGACGCCCCACGGACGGGCTGGATTGGACTGCGATGCGCTCTACTGCGATACGCGTTTCGCTCGAGGCCTCCTCAACTAATCCTCATGGGCGACCTGGACACGTGAAAACGAACGTCTCGCTCGAGACATCCTAAACACATCCTCATGTTAGACATCCGCCTGGGCGACCTGGACACGTGAAACCAAGCGCCTCACTAGAGAACGTTCTCAACACCTCCTCATGCTAGACACCTGCCTGGGCAACATGGACGCGTGAAAACTAGCATTTAACTTGAACCATCCTACCCACATCTCCATATTAGACATCCGCCTGGGCGGCCTGGACAGGCCAACACAAGCGTTTCGCTCAAGACCTCCTCATGTCCGCCTGGGCAACCTGGAGGCGTGAAACAACGCGTCTCGCTCAAGACATCCTCAACGCATCTTCATGTTAGACATCCGCCTGGGCGATCTGGACACGAGAAACCAAGCGTTTCGCTTGAGACTGTCTCAACAGCTCCTCATGCCCGACATCCGCCTGGGCGACCTGGACACATGAAAGCAAGTGTCTAGCTCGAGAAATCCTTATCACATCCTCATGCTAGGAACCTGCCTGGGCGACCTGGACGCGTGAAAACAAACGTCTCGCTCGAGACATCCTCAACAAATCATCATGCTAGACATCTGCATGGGCAACCTGGAGGCGTGAAACCAAGCGTCTCGCTCGAGACCTCCTGGGCGACCTGGGCACGTGACAACGAGCATTTCACCCGAGACATCTTCTGAATTCTGGTCCCCAGGAGACGAACCTTGTATAACACAGAACAAGCGTTTCGCTCGAGGCATCCTGAATAAATTATGCAAAACAAGCGTTTCGCTCGAGACATCCGCAACCACCGAACATGTTTACGTTACAATATGTATGATCAATCGGAATTTCAATAACCACAAATGTTTCTCGGGACATCCTCAATGTTCTACTTCGCCGGCCCTCTTCGCCCCCGCTGTTTAGTGCCAAGAAAACGCAACGCCTGCCTTGCCTTGCGACCCTGGCGTGAATAGAGGCCGCCCTAGACAAATCGGGCGGATCACCCGAGATCCGCCCGGTCACCGTCAACGGTTGACTTCAAATTCTACGCCAACAGGGCGACTTTTCGGCTGAATACAGAACTCTCCACGAGGGTACGCGTGCACGTGGGGTATTATTTACTGTTCAACTCGGGCGGGTCATCTGAAATCCGATTGGTCACCTGTAAAGGTTCACTATTGTTTCCATGCCTACACAGCGATTTTTCGTTTATGAACAATGCAGAACTCTGCACGCGGGAACGCGCGCGCGTGAAGATATGATGTGTTGACCTCAATAGACAAGTCAAGTGGGTCACCCGAAATCCGCTCGGTCACCGTTGAGGGTTCACTTTAGGTTCCAGGCCAGCAGGGCGCCTTGTGCAGTGTGCTGACAGGGCTAGTTTCCTATGTTGCTGACAATACAGGACTCTCCACGCGGGTACGCGGGCGGGCGCGCGGAGAATTCTGTCCTCTGTACTGTCCACACTAGACAAGTCAGGCGGGTCACAGGAAATCCACTCGGTCACCGCTAAGGATTCACTCGAGTTTCCATGTCAACATGGCTACTCTAGTTTTTTGTAGGCAATACAGAACTCTCAACGCGGTTATGCGGGCACGCGTGCGCGGAGGAAGGGAAGGGGAGGAAGGGACGGGGGAACGTCAGCGCCTACCGTGGAAGTGTGCGATATGGCTCAGTTGGAGATTTAAACATGATCGGCCCTCATCGTCGCAGTTGTCGCAGTAGCGGTAGTAGTAGTAGTAGTAGTAGTAGGAGGAGGAGGAGAAGGAGGAGGAGGAGTAGGAGTAGGAGTGGTAGTAGTAGTAGTAGTAGTAGTAGTAGTAGTAGTAGTAGAAGTAGTAGTAGTAGTAGTAGCAGTAGTGGTAGTAGTGGTAGTAGTAGGAGTAGGAGTAGCAGTAGTAGTAGTGGTAGTAGTAGGAGTAGGAGTAGGATTATTATTATTATTAGTAGTATTAGTAGTAGTAGTAGTAGTAGTAGTAGAAGAAGCAGTAGAAGTAGAAGTAGTAGAAGTAGTAGTAGTAGTAGTAGTAGTAGTAGTAGTAGTGGTAGTAGTAGGAGTAGTAGGAGTAGTAGTAATAGTAGCAGTAGCAGTAGCAGTAGTAGTAGTAGTAGTAGTAGTAGTAGTAGTAGTAGTAGTAGTAGTAGTAGTAGTAGTAGTAGTAGTAGTAGTAGTAGTAGTAGTAGTAGTAGTAGTAGTAGTAGTAGTAGTAGTAGTAGTAGTAGTAGTAGTAGTAGTAGTAGTAGTAGTAGTAGTAGTAGTAGTAGTAGTAGTAGTAGTAGTAGTAGTAGTAGTAGTAGTAGTAGTAGTAGTAGTAGTAGTAGTAGTAGTAGTAGTAGTAGTAGCGCCAGAACCGCCGACGCCACGCCGTAAGTGAAGCAGCAGCAGAAGCAGGCAGCAAGTCGCCGAGACAGCAGCAAAAGCAAGCAGGCACGGAGATGAGGGCGGGGCACTGGGGAGTTCTTTACATCTACATCTATATCTACACCTACATCTACATCGACACCTACATCTACATCTAGACCTACATCTACATCTACACCTAGAGATACATCTACATCTACACCTGCATCTACATCTACATCTACATCAACAGCGAGACTCACATATACATCTACATCTACACCTACATGTACACCTACATCTACATCTACATCCCCATCTACACCTACATCCACATCTACACCTACACCTACATCTACATCTACACCTACATCTACATCTACATCTACATCTACCGCATTGGTTTTGCTTTTGATGTGCATTGCCTTTGCTGCGCTATGATTTGCTGTGCTATGCTATGCTATGCTATGTTCTGCTCTGCTCTGCTCTGCTATGCTATGCTGCGCAATCCTATGCTGGGCTAGGCTAGGCTAGGTTAGGCTATGCTATGCTAGGCTGCGCTATGCTATGCTGCGCTATGCCATGCTATGCTATGTTTTTGCTTGCCTTCGCTTTTGCCTTCACTTTTGCCTTTGCTTTTGCTTTTGCTCGGCACCCAGAGAGCGCAACTGGGGGAACCGCGCGTTTGCTTTTACCTTTGCTGTTGCTTTTGCTTGGCTCCCAAGGGACTGGGGGAACCGCCCGGGGCGGTTTGCACTGCCCGGCCCCTTGAAGCCAAGCGAGTAAGAACCCTTCTAGGCAGAGCCTAGGTAGGGAACAAGCGTTTCGCTTGAGACATCCTCAACAAATTCTGAAACACAAGCGTGTCGTTCGGGACATCCTTAAACATAAAACAATATATTGCACAAAACAAGCGTGTCGCTAGAGACATCCTCAACAAATCCTGAAACAACAGCGTTTCGCTCGGGACATCCTCAAACATAATTTCGCTGGCCCTCTTCCCGCCTCGTTATTTACCGCACATAATTCCGCCCGCCCTCTTCCCGTCAGGTCGGGGGGGGAACAGCTAAAAGAGAACACTGGGCCCGCGCCCTTTCTGGGAACATGAAACCCTCCGCTGGCCTTAACACCCCAAACCATCAGCCTCAGGATGCACAAGAACAATCAACAACCACGAATAACATTAGGGTACCCTCCCCGAACCGACCTCGATCTTCTACCTCGGTCCGACAGTATGCCTACCTGGGGTGTAGGCTGGTGGTTCTAAGGTGCCCTGTCCCTGTGGGGATGGGGATAGAAAGATCAATGCTGACATGCCGCTGCTGTCTTCCCCTCCTCATTTTCCTCCTCTTCCGCCTCTTCCTTCGCCTCCGCCTTCGCCTCCTCCTCCTCCTCCTCCTCCTCCTCCTCCTCCCTCGCTATCGCCCTCGTCCTCCTCCCTCTTCCCACTCCCTCCCTCCTCCTCGTTTTCCTCCGCTTCCTCCGCTTCCTCCACTTCCTCCCCTTCTTCCTCCCTCCCCTCCCTCCTCCCTCCTCCCTCCTCCCTCCTCCCTCCTCCCTCTTCCTCCTCCTCCCTCCTCTGCCTCCTCCTCCTCCTCCTCCTCCTCTTCCCCTGGCGTAGGGACAGCTCCGCCTGCCTGGCCAGAACGGTAAGTATGCCCAGCTCGTCGCCGGCGCCGGCCGCCAGTATCTGCCCGCCGTCCACCCCCGCACGCCCAGCGACCATCCCTCGGACCTCCCTGCGTTATAAAAGAACAAACGGAGAAGGTCTGTGGTAATCTTGAGTCCATGGAGGCCCTCACCAGGCCTCGGGACTGTCTAACACCTGCTTTGGATGAAGTCCCGGTGCCCAGGAAGGGGTCCAAACCCTGTCTGGGACTGACTGGCCCAGTTCAGCGCAAACCTGGGTCAGTCAGGCTTTGCAGGAATCTGAAGAACCCTGCGCCCAAGCCCGGGTCAATGCGACCCTGGCCCTGCAGGATCCCTGCGAAATCTGGCGCTCTGGCTGACCCCCGTCTCTCGAGCCCCAAATCTGGGCCTCTTCCTGGGCGCCGGCTCTTCGCTCCAAGACATCGTGCTCTTGGTCCTTCGTCCAGAGACCTCTCCCTATTCCTGGGGGGACAACGAGGTCCAGAGTTTGGGCCTCGTCCTTTTCCCCGACATCGACGGAGCCACAGTGAACAAGAAACGCGACGTCGATGTCGCAGCCCGCCCCGTCGGCGCCCGCACATCGAATCGCCGTGATACGATCATCCTGCGATCACGAGAGGAGCGCCACACCAGGAGCGAAAACACCGTGCCAAAATCAGTCTACATCGAACCGGCACATCGCGCCGAATCGGAATGGGCTGCGTCGGCACGGAGGCGGACCGTCGGAATCGAATCGCATCGGCCGCACCAGGATGCACAACAACGACGCGCAGACATCGGTCCGCATCGTATCGCCAGGATATCGAACCAATATCGAACCGGATCGGTAGAAATCGACTCCACGGCGAATCGAACCTGTATCACATCAAGTCGATCGAATGTCCACATCAAATTGTCGAAACTGATATTGACTCGGATCGATCTGATTTGAAAAGGACTCCACGGCAAGCCTCGCCCATGAATACGTCCCCGACCTAGACTTCAGGGGTGGAGCGCAAACCAAGGTCCATCCGAACCCAGAGTGGTGATTCGGTTTCCGCGTCTCGGCTGTGAGCGCTTTGTTCCCGACCCTCCAGCCTGTTTTTGCCAGCAACGTACATGCAATGTTTAAAAGCAAGGTACAGACGTTCTTGCCAGCAGCGTACAGCAACCATGAGGACCCCCACGTGGCCGTACACGGCGACAAGGAACAAGAAGTTGGAGGCACCACTCTCCAGCCCCGTTTTCATCAAGCACGCGTCGATGAGACAGGACATTTAAGATGTACTGCAAGAGCCCGAAAGCACAGCCTGGCCACGCACGCGTAGATCTCGTCGGCCAGCAATGTCACATACAACACGGACTGGGCGCGCCAGGAAGCCCATGCCCCCCCCGCCGAATGGGACTTTACCTCGTTACGTATCGCAAATACTTTCGTCGGCCCGCTTCCCGTCGAAACCGGGGGGAACAAAACCAAACGAGAACTAATCCGGGAAAAACGAGCATGCCATAGCGCGAACAGTGGATCGGGAACCCGCGCACCGAAGCCGCAAACATAGCCAGCCTGAAACTTGGGCGAAGCTGCGGCCCTCGCCAGGGTCGGGCGGCAGGCCCCGCGGCACCCACAGAACACAGCAGGCTGCCCCGGGGACGGTTTCCTCCTGCTCGCCCGCTGGATGGTGCGTGAGGCTGGCCACGCGCGACGCCAGAGCAGGGGGCGCCAAGATCGCCTCCACGACGTGTTCCGCCAGCTGCTCGTCCAAATCCCTGGAGCCCGCGGCCTCTCCGAGGGCATCTGCGAACGGGGGCTCCCCCGAGCCCGCCAGCCGATCGCAAATCTCATCGGACACCGAATTCGCCACCTGTGTTTGCAGCAGCCCCCCCCGCCTGCTCGACGGCTGACTGCACCAAGACGCCGCGGGCCCAAGCTCAAGGGACGAACGTGGGGGCGTCAGACAGACAGACAGACAAGCCATACGCCGGAGCGCGTGGGCAGAAGAAAACAGCCAGCCTCTTCTCACCGCTTTGCGGGAAGGCGGCACGCGTGCCCCCTAATTCACATCATGCGCGGCAGGGGGAGGAGAAGGAGGAGGAGGAGGAGGAGGAGGAAGAGAGGGAGGAGGAGGAGGAGGAGGAGGAGGAGGAGGAGGAGGAGGAGGAGGAGGAGGGGGAGGGACACACGCAAAATCAATCACACATTTGCGCCACGCTGCTGGCTCGCGGACACATTGCATCATGGCTGACTCAGTCGACAACTGCGGAGCGACGGCTTTACACAAGCACTTCGCCCATTCATTTCTGGGCCGGCCCCTTGCACGAGTGCACGCGTCTGTGGCTGGTCTCGCGCTCCCAGGTTGCAAGGTGAGGCGCCGCAGAAAGTCACAATCCATCGCCCTGCATATTTTTCCAAACCGCAATAGTTGAGATCTACACACTTGCGCTGTGTAGGGCTGTTGGCCTGACTGCAACAGCGCATGCTCGTTGGAAACTGTTGAAACGTACGCGTGGGGAACGTGCAAGATGCGACGTAGGCGCCTCGCTTGGAAGTCATCTAACCTTTTGCGTTCGGTTTTGTGGAGCCACGCCGAATTCAGCGAGTACAAAACTTTACTTGTCACCAGTGCTTAAAAACTTGAAGCTTCCTAACAATACTTATTGAAGTGTGCTCCCAGGCGCGGCTGCGTCTACAGAATTCACCCCAAGCAGCTCCCAATCTTCTGCCCAATTCTCCACATAAGCGCCCAGAGCTTGACAGCATGGCTCCAAGATATACCATCGAATCTTTCGGTTTGATAGGGTCACCACTGGGCGTGCTGAGGTTGATGTCGCAGCGAACCGGCACGAATTGAAACTTATTCCAATGTAGCTCCATGCCAACCCGTGCTCTTGCGCGAGCGATTTCTGCCAGCATAGCTTGTACTTGATCTTGGCTGCGGCCCACTTGCAAAGCGCCATCAGCATACAAAAATATAGCCAAAGATTCTTCCGCCAAAGCTTGTCGCACTCCAGCCTCTGCACGGCGCGCGGCGCCCCGGATAACCGTCGTCATCGCCATCGCGAACAAGAGCGGGGACAAAAAAACAGCCCTGGGATATTCCGAAATATTGATGTCTTTCTGTAGATCGTTGCCGCCCGCATGCAACACTGAATGTTCTGCCGCCGTAGACGTTGCCAATGATGTTCAGGATGTGGCCGGGGGCCCCGAAGTTCCGCAATGCATCCAACACCGCGCCCGCGTTGATCGTGTCGAAAGCCTTTTTCCAATCCAGCGCGACGTAGGCTACGCCCCCATGCTCGTCTGCAATGGCCAATTCGACGTAACGACGCACAGCGTGCAACGCGTCCGATGCACCGCGCCCCCGACGGAAGCCGAACTGCGTCGCCGCTAGTCTATTCTCGGCCCCAGCGTCCTGCAGCCGCTTCAAGATGAGTGCTGCCATGAGCTTGTAAGCCACGCGCAGCAAACTGATAAGGCGATAGTTGTCGCAAGTGTCGAGGGCGTCTTTGTTCTTATAGGTTGTCGGTATCACTGATTGCTTCCAATCCTCTGGCACGGCCTCCTCGCTCCAACATTCATTGCGCGCGTCAGTAATCCATTCGGGCCCGCCCAGGTCCGTAGCAATAGCTTTCCAGTATTCCGCTGGTACGCCGCCCATTCCGCAAGCTTTGCCGCGCTTGAGACTCCGGATAGTTTCTCTTGCCACTTTTGTTGCGAAATTTCCTCCCAGGGCTGGTAGCGGGCCCCCAGTGAGGCCGTCGTCGACTAATTGTGCCACTCGCACTTCCCACTGCACTTTCTCCGAATACTCTGCCACTGCGTCCGCTCTTTGAGCGCCGTCGACCAACTCGCCGTCCATGTCTCTAAGCCTTCCCTGCCTGCGAGGTTTGGGCCGGCAGTGTCTTCCGAAAGCGTCCCAACTTCCATTCGATATCTGTGCGTCCACCCAAACTGTCTCATCATGTTTGCACGCCTTGCGGGCTTCTTTCAATCGTCTCTTCCCCTCGGATTTGTCGTTGGTTGCTCTTGCTCGGCTGCGCCAGCCGATCAAGTCGAGCGCGGCTTGCGTGGCCCTGCTTGTTCGGCAACGCGCTGGCTGCCACATGCGCTGCTGTCTTCCCTTGGCCCCACATATCTTGCATATTAATCGCTTCCGCCGCCGCCGAAGATACGCGATCTAAGAATGGCTCCGCGTAAGTATTCAAAGCCATGGGATCTTGCATGGCACGCCTGTTTGCACACCCTTGTGAGTCTGGTATTTGAATATCTCTTGGCATCGAAAGTGCAGCAAGCACCAAATAATCCACCGACCCCAGAGGCGTGTGTGATATCCTTCATGACACCCCCCTCCCTGACACTTCACCACCTGACAGTGCCTATCCGCCTTGGAAAACTTACAATTTCTCGCCACGCATTCCCCCTCGCACCGGAACCCCCACCCCGGGAGAGCTCTGTTCTTGGGACCCCACCCCACAACCCGCCCCCCCACCCCCTCGCCCCGGCACCCCCTCCCCGGGAGAACTCTGGTATTGGGACCTTCCACCCCGCAATCTCTCGCCCGAAAGTCATCAACGCCCCCCCCCCGCGCTTCCCTCCTCGCCCCGGCATCCTCGCCCCGGGAGTCCCCCCTCATCGACCAGAGCCCGTCCCAATTCCCAACCACAGCCGTGATGTCCCGTTTGTCTGTGCCATGGCTTTGCCCAGGGAAAGGTACGTGACCTTGTGCAGGAGCTCGGAGGCGGGTAACTTCGCGTTCAAACTCTGCGAGTTTCGCCTGCGCGGCCGAGTCCACGGACTCTCCGAATGCCGATGTTGCTGAAGCTGCCCGAGAAGAACAATTTGCTCCAAGCAAGCCCACTCGTTTCGTCAATGCGCCGATCTGGGTCTTAATGGGGTTTATGGCGTCGCTCAAATCTGCTCGTGATACGCCGTGCGTCTTGATAGCTTGGATGTCGTTCTTGATGGGATCGAGGTGGTGGTTCAGAATCGTCTCAAAGCCCTTGGCGGTCAAGGGCTTGTCAGGCAGCGTCCATGTATTATTGAAACTGTTGTTGTCGCAGTGC